TAATGTTTATTTATTAGCAATTTTTTTGATAAAAATTAAATTACTTTCAAGATTTTTTGTTAATATTTAAATAAATACAAATGGAGTCAGGACAAGATGGGATACAGAGTTAAATATTGAGACATCCAATTTTGTCCTTATATATATTGTAAATTTTATTTATTATGTTTTACAAATAATATACTTATTTAATTTTTTTAAACTTTTTCAATATTTCACTTTGCACGTGAATGGGCAGAAGGCGCTCCACCGGGGACACGCCCGCTTTGAAGATAGAGGGGGCAATTGTCCCCCACGAAATGAGGAAAAAACTTAACACCCCCTCCCCCTTAAATTCTTTACAAATATATATATATATATATATATATTGAAATTGCACTTGCCTTCCCTAAAATTGCAATTCTTCCACATTATCTTTAAAATGATTAAGCACATATATTTAAAAATATTTTTTATTTTTTCATTTATTATAAAAATAAATTTATCATACTAATAAATTTAATATATGTGTTTAAACTTCTCATATAATTTATTTATATATTACTTTAAATAATATTTAGAAGGAAAAATTAATAAAAAGGATCAGGTTAAAAAGTATATCAATCTCAAGGACCAAATATTTTTGAAAGATCAAATTAATTATTTTATTCAGAAAATGAGTAAGGGAATTGACCAAAATGCCTTGGGAGAAAACATATAGATCAGAGATGTTTTCCGACACCCCTGCTTCTCATTTTGTTCTTCTTTTTGTTTGATTTCTTAGCTCTCGCTGTCGGCGTTCTCATTTCCTTCGTCTTTCTCCTCGCCCTCAACATTCGGTGTTCGGCATTGACTCTAATTCACCTTCGTCAGTTTGTTGCAAACGACTCAACACAGCTTCATTTCCCACTCGATTCAGGTGAGTAATTGATTTAGCTAGCTAAGTAATGACTTAATGCAAAGAAAATGAATTCATAAAAGAAGTACGGATTATGAAAAGAAATAGAACAACTAAAGAAAAATCATACCATATATAATTCCCTTGAATGTAAGACCTGAATGTGCATGTTTCTCCAAAAGTAACTAAAATTAAAATTCATTTCTTTTACATTATTTTATGCATACCAGTGAAGCATGTTCCACTTGAATGCGCATCAACTGTTGCCTTGACTCTTCTTTGCAATCTACAAGTTTTGACTAAAATTAATCTTCATTTCTTTCACATTCTTTTATGCATACCAGTGAAGCATGTTCCTCCTGAATGCCCATCAATTGTTGCCTTGACTCTTCTTTGCAAACTACAAGTTTTTTATCAAACCTTCTCCCTTACTCGTTCTATTGATTTATCTGCAAGTTCTGTACTAATTTGATTTGAGTGTGTTGTGAATCTAAGTTTTTTGAATTTTGTATGGTTTGTTTATTTATAGTGGGAGTTTGCAAATTGAAGTCTTTTATGCTGAATTTTTGCTGTAATTGTGAAATTCGAGCTTGCTGTAATTGTGAAATTGAGCTTGTTGTAATTGTTGGTTTGCATATTAAAGTCTTTTATGCTATAATTGTTGGAATGATTATTTTTATTTTTACACTTTTTGATGATTGAAGGATTATAAAATGAAAATTTGAAATGTTGTTGGTGTTGTTAATGATGTTTTGATGATTGTTGTACTTGTATGTGGTATTGTATGAGATATTAAATCATGAATATTGTATTTTTATTTAAATTATATTATTTTATCATGACTGGTCTAACTTTAGTTTGACTTTGGGTGAACCTCTTATCCTTGATCTCAGTTGGTTTAATGACCGATTCAGATTTCAATATCTTGGATTTGGGTCCCTTTCCATCAACTGTTTGCATTTGTCTTTGCTTCTCTCCCTGATTTTATTATGATTGTTTTGACTTTGGTTCGACCTTAGTTGAACCCCTCATCCTTGATCTCGATCAATTTAATGGCCAATCCAGATTTCAGTATCTTGGATTTGGGTCCTTCTCCATCAACTGTTTGCGTTTGTCTTTGCTTCTCTCCCTCTCCCTATCACCATTTTTCATTCTTCCTTACTCTCTCTCACCCTTGTCGTTCTTTAGAGTGCTAGCGATTAAGGGGAGTTCAGATAGTCTCTCTTAGCTTTGCAGTGATCTTTCTCTCTTCCTTGTTCTGAGAGCACTGATTTACAAGAAGGAGAAAGGATACACATAGCATCTGTTGGACATTCTATAGTATGAAAGTTGAATCTTGTTGAATCAGATTTGAAGAATTAATGCTGATGCATATGTATGAGTTTAAAGCATAAGCGCCTTATACTTGTATATTTGGCTTTGATTGGGTGAAATAAGAGTCAATTGCATTTCTTTAACTCTATTAGTGTTTTGGGGTTTATATGAAAACTTAATGACCCAAAAATGTATTTAGTGTTAGCCTTTTTGTAACTCAATTTGGAATTTATTATTCTTTTCAATGCCATTTTATCATGCTATTTTGCTTCTCTACTTACAATTTTTCCCCCTTACAAGATAGGCTATTGTTGTTGCCGAGATAACATCCAAAACCATTGCTAAGATACAAAATACTTTTAAAAATTCAGAATCTTCTAAAGAGATAGAAGGCAAAGATGTAGCTTTAACTGGAAGGGAAAGTGAAGATAAGAATGACAAACTACAAAAATGTACTCTTAAAAAATTGGAGAAAGCTAGCTATGAGTCAATACTTAGTTAGGCAAGGCATAAGAGAACTTTTTTGTTTTTCCCCCAATGATGTTGATGGTAGATCTTTAATGGATTCTATATAAAAAGCTAATGAGTTTCTTTGTTGACAAATGCTTGACCATCGTTGATGTTGCCTTTTCTTTCATCCCTAAGGTCTATGGTTTGAAATTGAATTGGTGAATATGCAATCTGTAGTTTGCAATCCCTTCTTAAATTTCATATTTATATATTTGCTGCCAAGTTAGTTACCTATTTGCCTGTGAAGTTATTGCTTGATAAAGCCCTTGAACCTATTCTCTTGTACATAACCTTCTCTCTTCTAGTTGTGAATTATTTTTGGTTTGGGCCTTAGAAATCATGTTAAATTGGTGCATGAGCCATTTGTGCTGTTATTTAGATTATGTCGATGCTTTGTATTCCTAGTTTAATGATTAACTAAATGTCATATTTGCTAATATTTCGAGAAGTATGCATTTTTCAACTTAAAAAATTTTAAATAACTCTTCATAATGTTGCTTCTCTAGGCCATACTTGTAAGTTGATGCTTGTGATTATGTAAAATTTTTATTAATTCTTATGGCTCATTTCGTTAATTTTGATTTTACTACTATCAGTTAAATAACAAATGTATCAACCAAAGATTGTTTCCAATTCAAGTCTAGCTAATAGCAATTTGTTATTTAATGGCTAGCATTTTGCTTGTGGTGGTAGTGTAATAGATCCTCGCATCTGATACTGGTTTCTTCTTTTTTGTTGATGATGTGGCATAGCTTGGAGGGTCGAATAGTGAGTCTTCTTTTTCTATTATAGCTTAACAGGGACCAGTTTCTTCTTCTTATTCTCCAAACCAAATTTATGGCATTTTTTTTTATTTGGTAAAGTGTAAATATTTAGTTGTTCAGTGGCTATCAAAATAAATTTGCCTCGTTGTGTTACTCATTTTTGTTACCTTAGATTTAGTTGAAAGCTATCAAGCATGGCGTTTATGATTCAATATAAAATTTAAGAAAAATGTTTCATACCATTGATTTATGGATGCAAGGCTTTTAGCTTAAGGTACACTCATTATGACTTGGGGTGTAAGGGGTATGATTTAGGGGCAAAGGGTATAACTTGAGTGCAATGGATCTGGTTTAAGGTGTAAAGCTTCTGACTTAGTCATTTTCATGTAATTCATAATTTTCATATAATTCAGGGGCACTGAAAATTATTTACATGTAATTCGCTAGATATTATATATAAATTATTCCTCAGACATGCACATGAATTTCTTTATATATTGATTTACATGTAATCCATAACCATTTTCATGTAATTTAGGAGCACTGATAGGGGCATGCTCTTTGTGTCTTTGATTTACATGTACTCCACTAGAGATTACATGTAAATCATTCTTTAGTTATGCTCACGAGTTTCTTCATCTATTGATTTACATGTAATCCATTATCATTTTCATGTAATTCTGAGGGATTAATAAGGGGTGCTCTTTGTGTGTTTGATTTATATATAATCTATAGTTGTTTTTATGTAGTTCTAAGGGATTGACAGGAGATGCTCTCTTTATGTTTGATTTACATGTAATTCGTTAAAGATTACATGTAATTGTGTAAGCTAGAAGCTTTATACTTCAAGCCAGACGCCTTGCACCCTAAGTCAGAAGTCTTGCATCCTTTAGTTATTGGGTTTCAATGTAATCCTTGATGATTATATGTAATTAAGGGGTTTTGAATTTTTTTGGTGACATTTTTTGGCGACCCTTCACCTACCGACAAGAGCTTTGGCAAGTGCGCTGTCAAGTATTGGAGCTTCGACGATCAAATTTTGTGCCTTTTTCTTAATTTTTTTTAGTTAATATGGAGGGATATTTTGGTCATTGGATCAAATTATTTTATGAATGAAATAATATGCTTGATCCTTTCATGAATTTTGATCCTTAGGCATAATTTTGGCTTCAACTAGGTCCCTTTCTCTAATTTTCCTATTTAGAATTGTATCTTTTAAAAAAATTGATATTTATATTTATTATAAATATTGTCCCCTTTAATAAATTGTTTTCATGTTCCTCTTGTTATTGCAAGGTTCACCAATCACCACCTTTTTTTACGCTCTTTTAATGTTATTTATAGAGCAAATTTTTTTTAATTATATTTATAAATTATTTTATTAAATTTTTATTGTAAATTTTTCAACCTCTATAAAATATTAAATAATAATAATAATAATAATAAAAGTAAAAGGTCCCACCACTAGCTCCAACCTCGTGTCCTTGTTAAAGCCCGACCACTGATACTAATTATCTGTCCTTCACTCTTCAGTCTTTTTCCTGTTTTTACCTTCATCGGCCGTCGCCAATGGCGAATGACGAACGGCCCGGAGACCTCCCACAAGTGCTTGTTCTCGGTCCTCCAATTAGCTTCCCATTCATCAAATCCCTTTACTCTCACAAGTTCCATTTCCTTGACCCCAACACCTCCTCTCTTCCGCTACACCAATTTCTCACCGCCGACGGTCGTGATCCTGCATCCATTCGCGCCATTCTCTCCGGCGCCAAATCTCCCGTCTCTCCCGAGATCCTCCGGCTTCTTCCATCGCTCGGCCTCGTCGTCTCCTGCAGCGCCGGATTGGACCACATAGACTTGGCAGAGTGCTGCCGCCGTGGAATTCAGGTCACAAGTGCCAGAAATGTGTACTCGGAGGATGTTGCCGATATGGCGGTAGGTTTGCTGATCGATGTCGGTGCCAATATTTCGGCAGCCGCTCGGCGTGTTCGGTCTCAGGTCACGTCTGGCGCGTTCCATTTTCCGACGAGCTTCAAGGTTTTTCCAGGATTCTCCTTTCGTTTTATTATTTATTTATTTATTTTTTTGTCAATAATAGATATGGCCTCAATTTTGCTTTTTCCGGGATCATTGTAGATTTTGGCTTTCTTAAATTTGAGAAGGGAAACCATTTTTAATCTGGTACCTCTTTTTTTTCTTTTTTAACTTTTTATTTCCTCCTTCAATTTTGAAAAGGGAAAACCCCAATTATGCGTGTTTTGATTAAAACATATTCTGGATTAATTAGTTAAAAACATAGGTTGCATTTTTGTTCACCGTCAAACTCAAAATCCTCTATTCTTTCCTTCTTCTACAACACCTCTGCTTCCTCCATATCCACAACCTCCCTCAAGCTCTCTTGCCATTATCGACGCTGCTTCCTTTTCAGTCCTTTATCTTAACTTCCAACGTCGCTCTTGAATCTTCCTCCTTGGGTCCCAAACCCACGATTTTGGTCTCCAAGGATGTCGGAGACTCTGTCCTTCAAGTGTTGAGAGAGTTTGCGCACGTTGAATGTTCTGTTCTGCTCTGCTCTGCTCGAAGATGGCATTGCTTGATACTTTGATTGTTCGAAGCGGCGCGAAGGTGACGAGGCAGGCTAGTGTTTGAGGCTGCCAAGGGTAGAGCTGGAGAGGGGATTGATAATGTGGATCTGCAAGTTGCGACGGAGTTTGGATGTCTGGTCGTTAATGCGCCGACGGCGAATGCCATTGCTGCGACGGAGCATGAGATCGCTCTGCTCACTGCCATGGCAAGAAATGTTGCTCAGGCTCAGGCTGACTCCTCCATGAAAGCGGGTAAGAAATCGATCTTGCGTTATATTTTCATCGTTGACTTCGTTAAACGAGAAAACGCTGCCTTCAAAATTACGTGCGTCTTCAATTTTCTCTCCAGTCTGAACGTTTCAGAATTCAGATTTAGCATCGTCTGCAATGTTTGACTGTTATGTTGGTGTTGAGGAGAACGATCTTCCCACATGTCAAGTGTTCCAACCGACAGTGAGTGAGGAGAAGACTTACGTCGTCTTCTACTCCGTTGGTTTCTCTGGCTATTTTCCAATGTACACATGTACGGGTTCCCTCTAGCTATTTTCTAATGTACACTTCTACAGGTGTTATGCGTTTGACGGAAAAAAGTTGAAGGAGGAAATTAAAAAAAAAAAAAAAGAGGTTCTAAATTAAAAATTAAGGAAAACTATATGGATACCAGCAAAATGGTTTTCCCTTTTCCAACTTAGATTTTTTAACATTTTTAACAAAAAACGAAAAATATTATCATAAGATATACTCCCTCCATTCAAAAATGCAAGACACTTTTTGAGAAGTTGAATATTAAAAAATATAAGACATTTTTAGTCTTTTTAAATGTAATCATTACTTTTTTTTTTCTAAAAGTATCCCTATTGATAATGACTCAATATTTATTGTAAGGTGTTTAACAGGGATAAATATGAAAAGATAAGTTTAGTTGGAAAGCATGTAACTACTTTATTGAGGGTGAGATTACTTTATTGAAGGTGAGATTTGATTAAAAATACTTTATATTTTTTAACAGATGGAGTAAATAAATAGCATGTTGTGTAATATAACATATATTATTATAAATTTTATATTTTATACTTAAAAATTCATACGTTTAAAATTGTATAGGAATCTTCAGTTAAAAAAAAAAATTGTATAGGAATGTAAGTATTTCAGTATGTGTAAAATTTATGTTATTATTTGATAAAAAAAATTTATGTGTAATATTTGTTTTCTGTTGCATTCATTTTTGTTATCACTTAACTCTCTATTTCTTGGAATACCCTTTTAAATGTACTTAATGTATTTTCTTAAAATGTTGGTAAAAATGTATTTTCTTAAAATATTTAAAATGTAAAATTGAAAAAAAGTATGGTTGAGATTTAAGTAAAATTTTTCACATTAAGATTATTAAATTGTTAACGTACGTATATATCTATTTTCTTAAAAATAAAATTTTACAATGACAAATTAGTTTCAAATTATTTGTGTACTTTTCAGCAAGCTGCTAAAAGGATAATTATAAAATTATTATTTCGCGTGTAAAGTGGACAGTGATTCTATATAGATTAGAATATTTTAAATGTAAAATTAGTAAATACAACACTTAAATAAATAATACATGTACTTGACTAAATTTGTATGATTTTAACAATTTTCACGTATATTCTATTTTTTAATCTATAATTTAAAGTATGTTTGTTAAAGTTTTTATTTGAAAAATCACTGATTTTTTTAAAAAGTTTTTTTTATAATTTTTAAAATTTTGAAAATAATAAAAATGTTAAAAAATAGAAAATATTTTTTGTTTATTTTGATAAGTTATGAAAATAATAAATATAATAGATAAAAGATAATATTATAAAAATATGAAAATATTATAAAATTTAAAAAATAAAAAAGTAAATTATTTTTATAAATAAAAATTCACGAAAATATCATAAATATTTTAAATTATTAAATAAAAATCAGTTTTATATAATTGTAAACAAGTGCAAGATAATTTCTTCACTTTATTAAATGTCTAAAACATATAAAAATAATTTATTTTTTAAGTTGAAATAAATGGCCCTAAGTTACCTAAGTTATTTTTAGAGAAAAGTAACGATTTGGTCCATATAATTTTAAATTTTAAATAGGGTGTAGCTTAATCTCTAACTTTTAATTTAATGTAACTTAGTTTCTATAATTTAATTCAGTTGTATCTTTGTTCTTAAATTTTAAATCAGTTCAATTTAGTCCCTATATGTTTAACCATTTAAAATATTAGTTTTTATATTTTAAAAAATAAAACTACAAAGATTAAAGTTATTTCTTGAAATTTAAGAACTAATGTTTTACTAGCTAAAATTATAGAGACTAATTAAGTTGCTTCGAGCCAAGATTTAGAGAGTGAGTTACAACAAAAAATGGGACGGGAATTGCATTGTTTTTTAAAGTTAAAGAGTTTAGAATATTAGATACTCTTGAACTTATAGTTTAATGATTAATTTGCTCCTTTACCCAAAAGAGGGCCAAAAAAAAAAAAAAAGTTCCAACCAAACATGAAATCATGACATGCTCTTTTGATATCTTGTTTCACTTTGCAAGCCAAACAAATTAAAATAAATCCTCTGTTTCAGCTTAGAGGCAAGCGAGTTGGGATTGTAGGCCTCGGAAGCATAGGCATGGAGACAGCAAAACGACTGGAAGCATTTGGTTGCATCATATCGTACACCTCAAAGAACAAGAAGCCGCTTGTGTCATACTCATTCTATGAAAGCATTGTAGAGTTAGCATCTACTAGTGACGCACTTGTTCTCTGCTGTGCACTGAACGAACAAACGAGGCATATGGTGAGCAGGGAAGTGATGATGGCTTTGGGAAGAGAAGGAATCATTGTGAACATTGGAAGAGGAGGTCTGATAGATGAGAAAGAATTGGTGAACTGTTTGGTGAAAGGAGAGATTGGAGGAGCTGGTTTGGATGTGTTTGAGAAAGAGCCTCATGTTCCTCAAGAGCTTTTTGAATTGGACAATGTGGTTTTGTCTCCTCATGCTGCTGCCCTCACTACAGAATCTAAAATGGGGATTTCCCAACTAGTGGCTGCCAATTTGGAGGCCTTTTTCTCAAGTAAGCCTCTACTTAGTCACGTGAGACTGGATTGAGAACTATTTTGCTCTTTTTGTTGTTGGGTACAAATTGGTTCTCTCAATTTGATGTGTCATCTTTAATATTTGTATGCTTTAGGTGATATGACAGTGCCATTTTATAAGGCTCACTTTTACTTAATTTGGGTTAGGTAATAACTTTTTCCTAAATTATAAATCCAAAAACGCTCAAGATCCTAAATTCTTTTTTTGCTTTAATGTTTCTTTTTAACTTTTAAAAATGATGCAATATTATTCTTATCATTAATTTCTTACCATTAATAAATGTTAACTTTACTTGTTAGTTGACAAAAATGGATCTTTGTAATTTTTTTGATTCTTTGTCTGTAATTTTTTTAATTTTTTTCCATAATTTTTAAGATTTTTTTGTATTTTTTTATCAATTAATAATTAAAGTTAATTTTTATAAATAGTAAGAGTAATATTGTACTATTTTTAAAAATTAAATAAAAATATTGTTTCAAAAATAAGTTCGGAGTCTGGGACATTCTTAGACCTAGCTTAAAAGTTAAACTACCCTTGACCCAATTTATTTTAAATTAAAATTAACCTTTGTTAAAATCTCTTACTAAATTATCCCTTGGGCTAAATTTTAGGTTAAAATATAGATTGTACTGAACCTATTAGACTAGGGCCTAAGTTTTGGATTCAATCCAACCTAGCGCGATTGGATTCTAGTTGTGGGAGATAACCTACTCTAATTTATGATAAGGACATAATTAATTGTAGTCCCTCTCACTTTCAACTCAATGTAATGCAAATCTAATTCAGGATAAAAAATAAAGATGTCACCATAATCACACTTTCTAATCGATTTTGATTCGTATCTCTTGTCTTCAATTTATTTAAATCTCACTCATCAATTTTTAATATTAAAAGTAAGATTAAATGTCATTTTTAACTTAAATCTTAATATGAAGAGGACTCAATGTCCTATATTCCATTTTGAAGCAATCTAAAGAAGTAATGTACATTTTCCTTACCCTTGAATTTCAACTTCAATGATTGAGATTAAATATAAGATATTATTGGCTTGGTGGTGAGATTTTGCGAGGACCAAAAGATGGAATGCTCTGAACGCTTTGTCCCTTTTGAGAGCTATCCTAAAGATAAAGCACCTCCACATCCTGATGATGATCGCTCAACGAAGAAGGTGAAAATATGACCAGAGGATCATGAACACGATGATGCTATGCATGCTGAATGGTTAGACCCATCCTTTGGTGACGAAACACAACCCGTTGACTCCCTTTCATAGGAAATGGTATCGAAAACTCAGGAGATGACAGATGTAGTCATGACAATGACTGAGACGAAGCAACCAAATGCTGTACCCTCCTTTAAAGATAAGCTACTCCAAGGAAGCAACAAACCTCGAACAAGGAGACGTTGTATATGGCCAAAATGAAGGGATTCCCTTGATTAACTTCTCGAAAAAGGTTCGAAAAGTCCTCAACTAAAAGATGGGATTCACAGTCATCATCAAGCTCTTGGGTCGTCATATCGGTTACAAACAACTAAAAACGCAATTGCAAAATATCTGGAGGACAATGGGACAATATCACTCATGGACTTGGATGAGGAGTGCTTCCTCGTCCAGTTTAAGGATGAACAGGATTACCAAAAAGTTCTGTTCACAGGCCATGGCTAATTTTTTGTCATTATTTATCAGTGCAGCCATGGACACCATCGTTCAAGCCGCAAGAACATGTCATTAACCAAGTTATAGGCTGGATCCGACTTCCTGGACTACCAGTAAGATGCTACCATAAGAACATCATACGTTCCATTGGTGGTGTTTTTTGATGAGTTATACGAGTTGATTATAACACCGATTCTGGTGACACAGGCAAATTTGGAAGGTTAGCTGTTATTGTTGACCTTACAAAACCATTGACTTCGAAGATAACAGTAGAATGGCTAAGTTATCTATCTTGAGTATGAAGGCCTTCCCCAAATTTGTTTTCACTATGGTCGCTATGGCCATTTAGAGGAATACTACCCGAAAAAAAGAAACAACCTCAAAGACGACGCCAGCGTCGGAAGAGGGCAATTCGCCACCCCGCAATGAAACTTGAACCAAAGCAAAGCATGGAATGTGGGTGCATGCACCCATTCCTGTATAAAGGTACAACCGTTACGTGAAAAGGATGAACGTAGTGGGGGCAAAGGTTTTGCTACACTATCAAGGTTTGATGCTCTGCTTAATGTAGAGGAGGTGGACAAGTCGAAGCACCAAGTGTATGTTTATGTCAGAATTGTGGACAATGGTAATGCCAGCACCTCTGGACGAAAGCAAAAGGAGACGAAAGCCCTAAGGACGGGTGAAAGAGAACAAAGACAAAATGGGCCTCATGTAATGGGCCAAAACAAGGAAAGTATCTTTCATTCATCAGCATACCAGTCGTTCCAAGTTCAAACATCCCTTGATAAGGCCCAACACTAAGCGGCCATGATCCATGACGAACGGACCTCTCAAAAACTTCATTCGATTGCCGAGACACCAAACGCATTGAGTCATAATCACAGCCTAATTGACCAGTCTCCATCCACAAACCCAGTTGAACCCCAACCTAAGCTTCCAGATCCAAATGCGAACAAAGGAGGCCTTAACTTATTGCCAAGGTTACGAGCCCAGAACCTGGAAAGAAGGTCTAGTGGCATCACACTAGGCCCATGTGTACGTGCTATGAAAGAAGTAGCAAGGAGTGTCCAGCAGGAGCAAGGCCAAGATGGAAACAGCAAGGCAGTCGCCATGTTTGTCGAAGGAGTAGACTTCAGCTCGTCTCCGGAGCACTAATCTCTATATGTTTTTATGTCAATAATCACTTGAAATTGTCAATAATTACTAAACTCCGCCTATGTTTATAGCCGATTCCAAGCTTAAGTAAAGAAGAAGGGTTGTGTTAAGCCATCAACAGTCAATGTCAAACTTTGTTGAATCTATCATGAACATGGACAATAAATATTATAATGTTAAATCACTTGAAATTGTCAAGGAGCCTTACACAAAAGGCTTCCCTCAATTGTCAAGTCTTATGTTGCTAATTATAAAGCTGAAATTTTTGTTATTGTAGGAACCAGGATTTCTGGTATTCAAGCTAATAAAGTCATTAGGAAGCTTGAATTTCCATGCCACAGAGTTGAAGCACTTGGATTCTTAGGAGGCATCTGGATCCTATGGACTACTCTTATGGAAGTGAATATTCTACACAATCATCAACAATTTGTTCATATAGAGGTTAGAATACTCTTGACCAATAGGAGATTCCTTTTCACTGCTATATGTGGAAGCCGAAACCCAGATGGAGAAAGCAATTATGGCATGACGTATCTATTATCGCCCCAACCACCACGCATTCATGGCTTCTCGCTGGGGACTTCAATGCCACCATTAGCGGCAATGAGTATATTGGAGGTTCGGGGGGATTAAATGTTGGCTGTACTCTTTTTAAGACATTTATTGATGTTCATGGACTCATTGATTTGGGATTCAATGGCCCAAAGTCTACATGGCACTGTGGCGCATTATTGGTTAGATTGGACAGGGCTATTAGCAACTCAGCTGGGCTTAATTCTTTCAATTCTTGTACGATCATCCATCTCCCTAAAATACTATCTGACCATAGGCCCATTGCAATTCAATTGGGTCTTAGTGGACAGACCCTTGTATTTGAGAAGTCATTTAAATTTCTTGCTACTTGGACTGTACACCCTGATTTCAATGAATTAGTCAAGCGTTGTTAGGACCCAGAGCAAGGCAAAACCACTAACATTCAACACTTCACTGAAGAAGCCTCGAGATGGAATATGGAAACTTTTGGGAATATAAGGAAACAAAAAAAGGAAGCTCTTAGCATGCATCTCAGGTATCTAGAAGAAACGTGAAGTTAGTCCCTATTTTAAATTTCTACTTGATCTGGATTGCTCCCTTCAAGCCGAATTTGAAGAAATTTGTCTCTAGGAGGAATTGCTATGGATCCAGAAATCCTTTATCACAGTGACTTTGCATGGGTGACTAAAATATTGCCTTTTATCACACAAAGGTGCTGATTAGATGGTGAAGGAATTGTATTACCTAGTTGAATGATGGAAATCATGATTGGGTCACTAATGAACAACTTGCGAATTTGACGAGAGACTTTATTTCTTTAACCTGTATTCGCTTGAAGACCCTACCTTCTACCCCTTTCTGATTTTAGGTGCGTTTCCAACTTTATCAATTGAGTTGTCTAATTATTTGAATCGTATAATCTCCCTATAGGTCAAGAAGGATGTGTTCAATATGCAACCTTTGAAGGCCCTTGGAATTGACGAACTACATGCCCTATTCTTTCAAAACCAATGGGAGAAAGTGGGAAATGACCTTTACCAGTTCGTGCGTAACCTTTGGCTTGGTCATGCTATAAACACTGCCTTAAATAGTACTCTCATTGCATTAATTCCTAAAGTTCCCAGGCCGCAATATATTAAGGAATTTTGTCCGATAAGCCTACGTACAATGGTTTATTAAGTTGCAATAAAGGTGATTGCTAATCAGCTTAGTGCCATTATGCCAAACATCATCCTTCCCAATCAGACTAGCTTCATAAGAGGGAGAAGCATTATTGACAATATTATTATAGCCTAAGAAGTAATGCATTCAATGCAAAAGAAGAGAATTCAAGTAGGATGGATGGCTATTAAAGTAGATTTGGAAAAAGCTTTTAATAGGCTTAGATGGGACGTCATCGAAGATACTTTATATGATGTCGGCCTCCCTGAGTCTCTCATTAAATTTGTTATGGCTTGTATTACAACTCCTTTAATGCAAGTAATATGGAATGGCAAACCTTCCCCCACCTTCCACCCGAGTAAGGGTATTTATAAGGAGGAGACCCACTCTCACAATATATTTTTGTGCTATGCATGGAATGCCTATCTTAAGCAATTACAGCGAAAGTCCGAATGGGAAATTGGCACACAATTAAGATGGGGAAGCAAGGCATACCTCTCTCACATCTCTTCTTCGCAGATGATTGTGTTCTTTTTTGTGATACCTTAATTGCTCAGCTTGAAATGGCAAAGTGAATTCTCGATCAATTCTGCTTATCATCAAGCCATAAGGTAAGCCAATCCAAGACTCAAATCTATTTTTCAAGGAATGTTAATGTTGCACAACGTAGCTTAGTGTGTAACACCCTTGAATTTCAATGCAC